GGCCGCCTCCCTCTGGCTCTCCCTTCTCCGGCCTGGTGGGGCCCGTGCCGGGCAGCCGGCTCGCTCTAGGCCGTGAGCTCCCCGGTTGTCCTCTTGCTCCTTCTTCGGTTCTCCCACTCGCTGCCCGTCTCCTCAGGCACGGAGCGGCCACCGGCAGGGCCGGGCTCGGGCTTAGCCGCGGAAAAGAGGCGCTGGCTGGGCGCCCTCTCCTGCGCGGCTGCCTGTTCCCCGAGGCAGCAGTGGGGCCTTGGGGGCCGGGGACCTGCGGTGCCCTTGCGGTAGTTCCCTGAGCCGCCAACGGCTCCCTGTGCCCCGAGGCAGCAGTGGGGCCGTGGGGGCCGGGGACCTGCGGTGCCCTTGCGTTAGTTCCCTGAGCCGCCCTGCCGGGCTGGGAGCAGGGCTGGGGCGCATCGTGCTGCTGGCGCCTGGCTCTCTAAAGGCTGGGCGGGTTGCTTTCTTGCTTGCCTCTGGTGAATTGCATCGTGGAGATGGGAGAATGGGTTTGCGGTCGCAGCTTCTGTAAATGTTGCCGTTTACTTTCTGCGTTTAAGATACAAATGTTCTTTCAGAAAAAGGCTTTGAGGGGTGTTAAAATCCCAATAACCGTACTTAGTGCTGTAAAGTATTTCAGTGTATTTTCGCAGTCCATAGCGAGGGGCGCTATTGCAAGACTTCAGAACAAATAGTTGTGTTAAATTAAAAAGACACGATTTAATCTATATTTTAAAGTCACTTCTTTAGAGAAAACTTCGTAATTTTACGATTTCAAGAGGTGTGACTTAAAAACGCGTGTGACCTTCAAGAAAAGATACTGTATGTTTCAAACAATGATTTACAGTGATTCTGACAAAAGCCAGGTTAAACGCGTTTATTTTGAGTAGGGTTTGAATATTTGACCACATACAATTGTTGCTTGTGGTTTAAATATTATTTCTTTAATTGTTCTTGGCTATCTGTTTGAAGTAAAGGAATAGAAAGGGTTATAGGCAATTAACATACTTTTCGTGTCAAATGCTGCTATTGTATTGTAAGTATTGTCTTACCTCTTTATACAAGCTGTTTGTAAAATCTTTCCTTTTTGTTCTTGCTTGAATTTTCATGCATAAAGCTGAGTAACTTGATAAATTTCTCGGGGGTGGGGGGGGGGGGGTGAGTTAAATAGCAGTTGTTAATTGGTATGTGTTCTGTAAGTGCATTGTAAGGGCTAATGCTTTCTTTGTCTTGTAAGCAGCATGGAATTTCCTTTCTTCACACTGACTTTTCTCACTTTGGATGAGGTCTTTGTTTATCTGGAAGAGAGTAATCTGGCTCAAGTTCCCTTCTGTAAATTCAACTGACACTTAAGCAGGCAGCAGACTTAATTTAAAATCCTTCACCTCAAAGTCAGTAATAAGGTTATTGTGGTTTTTTGTTTATTTATTTCAAATAACTGGATGTGTAGAAACAGCAAATGAATTTAAATCATGGGCAAATTTACATAATAGATAGTCAAACTGAATAGGGAAATGAATTACTTAAAAAGACTAAGCCCTTTAAAACAGTGTCATAATGATGTGTGTTCAGCCTAAACACAGGACTGGTTATTAAGAGTTCAAGTGGGTTCTATAGTGCGGCATGTTTTCATGATAGCAATTCACTGTGGTATTTAAACAGCAGTGTTCTGGAAGGAGTATTTTCCCATTTTGGCAATATACAGACTCTCTTGGGAGCGTGTTAGTTGGTTAAGATTTTGCATGGTTCTCGCCACTTAAAAGTTGCGGTAATTTGTATTTTAAAAAAATACTCTAAGGTAGATTTTGCAAAAATCTGGAGCTATGTTCAATGAAGCATAGTAGCTCTGTGTCTATTGAGATTGTATTGAGATTGTGTTTATATATGTTTTTAAAAACTAGATGAGCAACAACAGTAATAAGAGAGCACCAACAACAGCGACACAGAGACTTAAACAAGACTACCTTCGAATTAAGAAAGATCCAGTGCCTTATATCTGTGCAGAGCCCCTCCCATCTAATATCCTTGAATGGTAAGAATTAGAATGAACTGTTCATGCACTTGTGGAGAGAACAAGATTTTCCAGGTCATCAAGTCTGACTTCCTCACTCCTACAGATTGTATGGGAATCTTGGTTTTGGGAGGTGGAGTATGAAACTTTTGCTGAAGTGATATTGATCTTCATTTTTCTAGAGAATTTGATGTCTGATTGTGTGATGGCTTTCATGCTGTTTAAATGTCCTTCTTTGTCTTAGGCACTATGTTGTACGGGGACCTGAAATGACTCCCTATGAAGGTAAAAGTTAGCATGTAGCAAAAGCGTGCATGTACTTTGTGTTGTGATTGGCGTGCCTGAGCAATTGCATGCCTGTTTGAATGGGCAAAATATAACTACTGTAAATAGCTCTAAAAACTGTTAGTGCAGTTTCAGTGCTGTGCGTGACTTGTGTGATAGCTTGTTGAAAACAGGTAGTGGTACCGCTGTCTATTAGTAATTTTTCTGTTATCAAGGACTCTAACAAAACCACATTTAGGTTAAACTGAAGGCAGATAACTTCCTGTTAAGTAATTGCTAAAAGTCTCGGAGCAAATAACTCGCTTTAGATAGTATGTGACAGTAAAAGATAATTTAAAAAAATCCCATTTTGTTACCACATAAATGTTCTCAGTCAACCGAGACACATGTTCTCTTTATGAATTTCTCTGGAGAAAGTGAGGAACGTAAAAGCCTTATTACTTTGTTGTAGTCACATATTTCATAACATCTTCTGGAGCCTCTCACAAAATGCTTTTTAAAATTGGATTCTTCATAGGATTGTATTTGCAGTTACCTGTGTTTCTGGAAAACCAACCCATTTTTATTGTATTAAATACACTTTGGCTGGTTTTCCTTAAATGTATTATGGACCTGACAACAGAAAATACTGTTTGTAATACGCATGTGAGAGAATTGCCTCCAGAGTAAATCTACTGCAGGTGTGGATCATTATTCCTGTGTTTTAGAGGCACAAGGTGATGAGCTTGATCTCTTTAGTGTGAGGGGGAAAAGGAGACAATAAAGGGTTTTATTTGGCCCATTTTGAGTAGCAGCTTAGGACTTCATCTTCATGCAAAATAAGTAATTCATGTCTTTATGTAATGCAGGTGGCTATTATCATGGGAAACTAATATTCCCCAGAGAATTTCCTTTTAAACCTCCTAGTATTTATATGATTACACCTAATGGAAGGTTTAAGTGTAATACAAGGTAAGGATTTTCTTCTAACACTTAAGCAATTAACACCATTTTAGCAATATGTATAATGTGTAATAATTTTAATGGCAAAAATAAAACACACTGCATGTCTTATCCTTTTGAAGGTTGTGTCTTTCAATCACTGATTTCCACCCGGATACGTGGAATCCAGCTTGGTCAGTCTCAACGATCTTGACGGGCCTTCTTAGTTTTATGGTGGAAAAGGGCCCCACACTGGGCAGCATAGAGACGTCAGAGTTCACAGTAAGCTCCAGACTGCGTGATGTACCTTTTGTCAGCTTAGGGAATGTTGAACATGACCTCAAAGTTAAAACAACAGCAGCAGCTGGCATTTTGGTATCTCAGAAATTAATATGTTGTTGCCTACTACAGATGATGGGCAGATGAATCAAGTCAATTTTGGGTAGTGTGGAGATGGGGAGAGGATTTCTTAGAGAACTTAAAATCCCTTTTAGTAAACAGTGTGGTTAGGACTTTTTCTCCTTCCTTCCTTCCTTCCTCTTGAAGTGTCTGCCAAGCAGGCACACTGGTACAGAACACTAATCTCATAAGATGAAGAATTGAGAATGTAACTTATGTCTAGAAATGTCTGTTGTAGTGAATAATATTCACAAGTATGAAGCTGTAAATGTTAGAAACTAGTTGGCTAGTGGTTTGCACCGTTCTTGTGGGAAATAATCAGATGTTTAATTAAAGTACGTTAGCTTCATTTATATGCAACTGCTGATAACTTTTGTTTCCTCCACAGAAAAGACAGCTTGCTGCACAAAGCTTAGCATTTAATTTAAAAGATAAAGTCTTCTGCGAGCTCTTCCCTGAAGTGGTGGAGGTAAGGGAATTCATCTGTGTGAGATTTTTGTTTTCTGTAGTTTTTTTAACTTCGTAGTTTTTTCTTCTCTGTGTAGATCTGTAAACTAATTCTTTAGGACTTTTCCCAGACAGTAGCTACTTTTGTTAATCTTGGAAGCCTTTTAAAAGGCACTTTTGCTATATGTAAGAATTAAAATCTTGAATCTTGAAATGGAATTGTTTTTCTGCTGCACAAAGATCCCTTGTATAGAGAATCAAATATTTGTATTTAGGATTGGTATCATAGCCTTGATTGAGCTGCACATGCAGCAGATGTGGTTGCAGTCCCCATATTTTAGAATTGCATACCGTGTTTTCTTGAGTTTGGGTAGGACTAATCTTTGTATATCTGGACTTGGTCCATCAATATCCTGAATTTTTTTTCGTAATTCTCCTTTAAGATCAGAGACTCTTGTATTCTTCCTGCCTAACTTCTGAGAGTGGGTGATATCTTTTTAGGGTATGTATCCTCCTTGCACAACACTAACCTTGTAGGTGTGTTGGTACACAGTTTATATCGTCATGTATAGGTAACAGCTGTAGGATATAGAAATCTGCCTTGTGTAAGGTTCTGAAAATGGTTACCCTTCAGCCAGGCAAGTTATATAGATGGTATAGGTTTAAGAAAGAAAGAAAGAAAAAAAAAAGGTGTATCACTTCATTCAGACTTCTGGGATTCTCTCACCGATTTCCACTGATGGTACTTGGTTCTAAAAGGTCTTGCCTGTTAGGAATGAAGGATGCTCCTTTCTTCACTCCTGTCTCAAGATGGTTCCCTCCCTGTAACTCCTTAGGGGAGGAATTCCATTCTTTCAGCCTGCTGTTGAGATTTTGAGAGTTAATTTTCTGCATACCGTATGAATGGGAACAGTTTTCTATTACAGACTCTGTTTCATGACTCCTGAGTTACAATATTATAATGCTGATGCTCATTGTAATTTGGAATTCTAGGTGTAAAATTTATTTTGTCAGGCAAACTGTTTTGGGTTGTACAAATTTCACCAAATTGCAAACCTTAATTATTGCACAAAGAATATATACTGTAGAAGAGTAGGGAAAAGATACAGAAGAGCCTTTTTCCAGCTGTTTTAAGAATGAGATGTGTGTGTTTGTTAGAGATAACCTGAGGTCATAAACATATGAGCCCAGCTAGTGAAGTAAACACTGTCCACAGACAGAAATGGCCTTTCTGGGCAGAGTGGCGAGTGCTTATGGAACTTCAGGTTTGATTCATCTATTATTATTCTTAAAGGTATTCACAAAGCTCTGGTTTAAAAACCATTCTCACTCTTTGTCTCCTCCTGGGACAGCCTTCTGGGAAAAGGAAAGTTTTATCTCCATTTCCTTTCTTCCTCACACAGATATAAATCTGAACTGAAGGCTTTAATTGCATTTTCTTACCCGTTACAAGAATGCCAGAGAATCGGAAATACTTTCTGCAGTACTGTTTTGCCAGTACCTAAATCATTGGGAAACACTGAAGACAATAATAGATAACTGCTGTTGTGTTCCGAGTACAGGCAGATTTTTAACATGTAATACTTAATAGTCCTAATGCTTCTAAGCTTCTGTGATTGCTTTCTTCATTTTTTTAATGTTTTGTGTTCAAAACAAGCTGGACATGCAAGACTTTTGATGCAAGAATTTCTCATTTCTGAAAAAAGGCTTCTCAGAAAATGTACATGTGAACTAAAAATAAACTTGGCCAAATGATTGTTAGTGTCAACTACTGAAGTAGGTCACTTTGGAAGAAGTTGGGGAGACTGTACAAAGTATGCAATGCAGTTAATTTAGTTAAAAAGACCTACAATATAAAGGAGTGTACCATATCCTATTCCTAAAGTTACGTAAGAACTTGGGTTCTGAAATCTTTTCAGGTCACCCAATAGCTTCACCACTTTCACTTCCAGCTATTCAGTTTTCTCTTTTCTTTCTCCAGGAGATTAAACAAAAACAGAAAGCACAAGAAGAGCTCAATAACAGACCTCCATCCCTCCCTTTACCAGATGTTGTCCCTGATGGGGAAGCACACTACGGTCAGAATGGAATACCCCTTCTTAATGGGCATGTACCATTGGCACCTGCCAATCATCCAGGTCTCCAACAGGCCAATCGTAACCATGGACTTTTAGGCGGAGCTTTGGCGAACTTGTTTGTTATAGTTGGTTTTGCAGCCTTTGCCTACACAGTCAAGTATGTACTGAGAAGCATAGCGCAAGAATGAGGATGATAAAAGAAATCCAAGACCAAATTAGTGGTAGTTGCAGAATGAGTGGGACTCTTTGGGCATCTGACTCTGACACTGGGATAAATATTTGTTTTACCAAGTCGCAGGTAAAACATTGGTTGGCTCATGGGTTATGTTTGGGAAATGGCATAGTTTGGATTAGTCAGAAAACTAAAAGAAGTTCTGCTCGCAGATCCTCTTGTCCTCGCTACTATTTAGTAGTGGCTCACAAACAAGTCAAAGCATTATTGATGAGACGCTAACATTTCTAGTGCTTTGATTTTTATAGCAGTTTTCCATCTGTTATTTGAAATTTAAAATCTTAAGCAAATAGGGCTTTTTACTTCATTGAACAATTTTTAAAATTTCACAATTAATGCATATCGTATTTTATTTTCATTAGGGAAGATTCTGTACAGGTGTTGAAATGATTCAAATAGAGATTTCATGTGGACTTGGTAAGGGTTTGGTTAATGTGAACATTGATGCTACAGAAGATTGCTGGTTTCTTTTCTAAAATGGAATGAACATCATTGCATATCTAGTCAGTAGTGATTAGATGAGTGGGAAAATAACACCATGTGTGTTAAATGTGTTGTCTAAATTGTCACGATGTAATTGAAGGTTTTATTTGGGCTACAAGAAATGCAGTTGCCGGCCTTTAGGAATGATTAGCAAGAAGCAGCATTTGAATCAGTCTTCAGTGGGGCTGCCCATATCCAGTATTGTTTTGGATTTGTTCACTTACAGATTTCCATTTTGGGAGATGTTATATTTGAAAGCTGTAATACTTAATTTTGATCACAAGGTGCCACTGTTGAAAAAAAAAATAAAACTACACACGCCACTGGAGAGTTGATTGTGTATTCAGAAAATCTTCTCTGGATTTCTTGGGCTTTGGTAAATCAAGTAACCCTAGCCCTTGTGAAGATAAAAAGACAAATGAGTCTGAGTAACAAACCATCTTCTTCAGAGTCAACTGAATTAATCTGAAGTGTCACTAGCTGAAGTAAACCCTTAAAATTAGTTCCACTTGCTTACTTGAAGATTTGCATAAACTTAAAAATCCACCACCACCACCAAAAGTCAAAACCCAAACCTTTCTAATTCGTCTGAGGTTCTAGAAGCTTTTTGCTTTTAGGTAGAAGTTCATCACTGTTCCCCTTCATGATTCCCCATGATGATTGATGACTGAAATACCGATGTTTGTTCATGGGATTACAGGACTGTGGATAAACACTAAAGCTCCTAGGGTAGTTCAAAAGTATGAAATTACTTGTTTAACTGAGTTTGCTTGGTTTCTCCCCCCCCCTTAATTTTATCCAAATGCTTTTTTTCATCAGAGGCAAACTTACTGTGCCTTTCATAATTGACAGTGATGCCTAATCATCTGGGGAAGAACACACTCACTGTTAATGGTACAACAAACTGTCAAAGGTGGTAGCAGAGTAAAAAGCTCTGCATCTAACTGCATAGTCTTATTTTAAGTATTGCGAAGAGCCCAAATAAATATTACCTCATGTATAAGAATTTTTTTTGAAACGGTTTTATTTTCCCTTTCAGATTTGTTCTCTCTCTCTGCTTCTTGGTATCTTGAATTGTAAGCGAAAATGTATGTTAACCCATGAGCCATGCAGCTTAGAGCATCAATAAATGTGACCAATTCTCTGCAATAGGTAGGAATTATCAAAACTAGCAGTACAGCTCTATACTAAAGAAATCTTAAAGCAGTTCTTACTGAGGTAGGGAAGGAGGAGATGGGGAGTGGGGGGGTGGAATTTGGAAAAGGCTGGATTTTAAAATGTATTTATAAATCTTTGATTTTTTTTTTTATTTTGTGGTTTTATCAAATCTTATTTATAACTATTTTTTAATTTACCTCTTGTATGTGCTTAATCAGCTCTTGTAAAAAGAGAAGCACCGGTTGTATCTACCTAGAAACAATTATGTTCTGTCGGTCTGGGGCTGTGCTGGGAAGGAAGGGGGAGTGTCATGTCTTTCCTGCAGTGACAGGATTTTCAGGATGGCTTGTCAGACTGGTATTTTTTCCTCAAAGCATATGGACCTGTAGCTGAGGCTGTTCTGCCTCATAGATCTTAGTATCATTCAAACATGTTTGTGTTCTCGCAATGCCTTTTATTACCATTGACATCGCCTACAGACAGAAGCTTATAATTGGTTATCTATGTTTATCTTATCTTATGGAAGTTCTTTTGTCCACATAAATGAAGACAAAGGCAAGGAGACCTTGGGCATGGTGTGTTTGCATCTTTTGTGAAATGTACCTAACCAAGGTAAAAGAACTAGTAAAATCCGGAGATGTTGAATAAAAGGCATTTTATTATGTGACAAGAAGTTGGCCTTAAGCTACACCCAAGTATTTGAAGGTGGGTCTCTTGTTTTTAGTAAGTGCCGCAATTGGAAACAAAAAAACTTTGGTTAAACCCTGGACATGCTGCATTTTTTCTGAGGATTGGTTGTATTTAAAAAACAAAGCAAAACTTCCAATTGCAGTTTCTCTTCAGTACCCTGGATTCAGAGAAAGACTTGACAGTCATTTCAGGTGCCATTTGTTGAAAGCTAGGAGCAATAGCTGACTGAACCCTTGCACCTATGGCTTACAAGATTTTGATACGTCTCCTTGCTCCTTGCCTTTGGTAACGGAAGATTTATTCCCTTTTGTGTAGGTTTTACCGTTTTGTGTTTTTTAAAAGCATTTATAATAGTATGCAGTATCTGATCTTTTTGTTACCAAAGTCATTAGATGGAGTAAACCATTCTTTGCCATGCAAAAATATCATGCCCTGAAGCAGTGCATTACTTAATGTAATAAAACTAAAAGCTGTCCCTCAGTATATGATATTGGAACAAGTGTCTGGCCCTTCACTTTCATGCTGCAATTTCACAGATTTCTGTAAGATTGTTATACACAGGTGGTAGGGAGTTTTTGCAGCTTGAATCAGAAGACATCTCAGTGGTCGCCTTTTAAAGATCTCTTGATTTTTAAAATCCTGGATTTGTGTGTAGTCATAACTTTTCTCCCCCCTAAGACTTCAAGGTCACGGAAGTTACCTTACTTCAAGCATGTACTGAGGAGTAGAAATGACTGCATTGTAAAGTTGTTTGTTCATAATAAACATTCATGATAAAATTTATACTTTCTGTGGGACTGTTTTTGGGAAAGGAATCACTGGGAAGAAATTTAACTGGATGTATATGGACTAGAAAACAAAAACTATGGCAAAAGTGCATCCCTCCCACCTCCACATCTATTTATTTTTTTCTTCAAGTTAGTTTGGTATCCCTTACATCTGTGGTAAAACACCTCCAGGAAGACCTACAGGTAGTAACTTCTTTTAGATCTTTTGTTTGATAATGTAGTTCCTTTACAGAGAGGTATTTGTTCTGTAATGACATAAATGTCACAACTGTCACTGTAGTGCAGTACCTGTTTTCAGTACCTACTCTGAGACATGTAGGAGCCACTCTAAGATGCTGTTCCATTGTTTTTGCCAACAGCGATGATGTCTCTGAAGAAAAAAGTAGATTGGAACCTTGCTCCTAACTCAGCATTTGCTGTTTGAGTACAGTTTGACTTCAGTCTGCTGCTATTCCCTTAACATCTGGATAGCTAGATCTGTGATATTGGGACAGCTTCAGTGCTGTGTGAAGCAGTAAATGTTACTCAGAGGCTGTCTTCACTTTTGACTTTTAGAATTTGATTTTGGACTGGCATTCCAGTTGTGTGTGTGGATCCAAAACATAGTTGTTTCTAGTAGCAATTTCTTTATAACTTGATGGAAGTGGGTGGTTTTTTTGCTTGGCTGACATCTGCCGGGGTTGAGCTGTGTCCTAATTTGTTTTATGAAATGATGCATTTTCCTTAACGCTGGTATTTCCACCTTTTTTTTTTTTCCTTACTCAGAACAGTTCTTGTGCCTGGAGTTCTTTTGCGCTCCATTGCTTAGACTTGGTGCTTTTCATTTTGTCAGTTGCCCTGCTTCAGGTTTTTTTAGTGCTTGCGTTAGTAAGGAACTAGCCAGATGAGGATAGCCGTGTTGCTGTATTTCGAATCCATGTAGTCATACAGGATTCTTGCTGTGAGGACAGGCATTGTTCTGCCCCTACCCTAGACAAATTCTGTAAGGAAAAAACCCTCCTATTGCGTTTGCACAAGTACTTGGATTTGAAGCTGATCTTGGGTGTTGATAGTGTCTATCTAGCCAACTGTTAAATGGGGAACTCTCCCATACGCAGAAGGCCAAAGAAATGAGAGATGCTTCTTGCCCATCTCATGGATTCTCCCAACTTGCCTCAAATATGTAAGCAGTCAGCAAGTGACAAGCTGTCTTTTCAGAAGAGCAAGCTCATAGTTTGTAATTAGTTATTACCCTAAGCCCTGTGCTTCAAAAGGTACTTTTTGAATGTCTCTGAATAATTTCTGCTAATAATTTGTTGCCGTTAGTGGCTTATATTGCAACCCAGTCACAGGAAGACAAATAGTGTACAAGATGATGCTTTTTTTTCCTCTGTCCGGCAAAGGCCAGATCTTACTTCTTAAAGCAGAAAAGCCATGTTTTCAGCGGAAAAATCGCATACACACACACAAAAAGGAGGCTGTTGAACATGAACTCAAAGCATTCACATCTCACGTTATTGAAAAGACTTTTCTGGGCAACGAATGAGGATGATGTATTAGGGTTTACTAGGAACCTTTTATTACTGGTAAAAGCTTTGTCCCAACAGCGTTATTTCACACCTCGGTCGCTCCGAAGGGCCCACTGCAAGAGAAGCCTTAGGAGTCGCAGATGTTTCCCCGTTTTGCCCAGCGTCTCGGTCTTTCCGTGGGTTTGCCACGAGATGGCGTAGCGATCCCGCGTGGGTGGCGAGCGAGCGGCCGGCTGGCTGCGCTGGGTGGGGAATGCGGGGAAGAGCCAAACGGAGGGGCTCTCCGAAACGGGGGGTACGGGCAGCTCCGCGGGGGGATCAGCTGGAGTGGCCGTAAGCTCTTGGTCTGTCTTCCAAAGCTGCTCTTTTTGTCTGCTGGTGTGTTTAGGTTTGTTCTAACAACTTTTGTATATTAACCCAATCAACAGCTCGAGTTTATATTGGATTAGCATTGGGGAATTTTAGATTTAAACCTAAGGGGTCTATCATAGGAGTACTCCAGACCTTCATCTGCTATGAAGCAGGGGTGGGTGTGTCAGTGAATGGTAACGCGCCTTCTTCTGTATCGGCTTAAAAAAATCACTCTGCCCCAAGGCTTAGGAGTTGTTCAATATATCTACAATGGGCAACTCTGGGAAAATCCTAGCTTTTGACCTTTTGCCCTTTGGTTATTATTCTTAGCATAGTTAGGTAAGGTCTATCTTGAGTAAAAGGCGAATTGCATAAGTAGAGATTGAAAGATCAAATCACAAGTTTCTTGCCTGACTATTCAGTTTCCTCTCCAGCTTTACACACGCGTCTTACAGCGTTTGCAAACACTGTATTTGGGTTCTTGCACACAACTTTGAAATGTAAATGTGGCTTCTTATAATATTTTCCCTACTTCAAAACTTTCCTCATGCAGAATTGGTATTGTTACATTCTTAACTATTCCCGTTATTGCTGCAATGGTGCTGAGCTCAGAGAAGAAAGTATTTGTCTTTTCAGTCACTTTGAGATCCTTGGTTTGTTGTGTTATTAAGTGCAACATCGGCCTATTCTTATTTTTTTGCAAATGGGGGTTGAATGTTGTTCATGCATTGGCAAGATTCAGGTGCTTTGGAACTGCTGCAACTAGGATGTGAGAACAGCAGCAGCCAGGTGTGCAATTTTCTACAGGTAATACAAATGCTGAATGGAAGGTTGGAGGAGAGGGAACAACTGTGCTGACACTTGTTTCAGCCCAACATAGAGAAAAGTATACAGTCGGGAGTTAGCTACAGTCAGTTTGTCCTACTGGACCATCAAGTGACTTTGCCTTGTGATTGCAAACATAGGATTCGTTTCCCCCAAATCTGAGGATATAGTCTAGGGATTTGGCTCTTGGGATGGGAAAGGAGATGTTGCAGGCAGACAGATGCAGCCTGCACCAGCAGACCAAAAAAAGTGATTGCCCCATTCCAGCCTTGAATGTCATTTCTTGCCATGGTGTGTGGATCTGTCAAGCTGTTTAGCTGCAATATGACAGATTGTCCTATTAATGTGTCATCAAGTGCACTTTTACAAATTCATGGCTTGTCTACAACTAACCTGAAAAAAGAGGCTTAAGTATGAGAAGGCGCCAAAGAAAGTTAAATATTATTAACAAATAAAGTCTGCCACGTAGTTTTGATGGAATGTGAGCTAGTTGGGGGAGGGGTCATATGCCGTTAACTATTTAGCTTCTGTGTAACTTCCCTTCTTACTCTCTTCTATTTCCCAAACTCCATTTCTCTCAAAAGATGCTTTAAAAAAAAAAATAAACCTGTATTCTACTTCTTGATTTTGCGCTCGGATTGTTCATGCCTCAGTTTCCCTGAGCCATAGATAATAGAGCTGTTGCTCCTGATCCACCCTGGCTCCCTTTAAAGTCCAATGAATAACTGTGCTGGCATTATGACTTGGATTACAGAAGGCATGGTAAAGGGATTGTTAAAGGAAAGTAAATCTGTTGCTTGCTGACTGCATAAGGGACTTCAAATTATGTGATCTTCAACCTTTTATCATTCTTCCACTTTCTCGCGGTACAATCTCAGTTAAATTTTTGCATCGCTCTCCGTATTTGTAGAAAGAATAGGAATAATTGTTCTAGGTAGTGGGGAACTGACAAAGATTTGCAGACTGTCCAAGTACTTCAGGATCTCCCTTATGAAATGCTTGTAGGAGATGTGTAACCTTTGGTTTTCTGTTATTTTTAATAAACAGCCCACTCTCCTGTGAAGAAATCGGAAAGCCCCCACTGAGCCAGGCTCTAATGAGAGCTAGAGGGAAATGTTGCATGGAACACAGCTAACTAGAGTATAAAGCAAGAGTTCTGATGTATCAATGTGTGGTGCGATGCTGAGTGCATATTCCAAGCCACATATTTTTAGCTCTACCACACACTCATGTACAGTTTTGCAAACTTCCCAGAAAAATGGTGATTTCTCTGAGATAATGAAGGGGAGGTACAGAATAGGGCTGAGGGGAGGGAGCAGGGAACGGGCATTGATTTAAATCTGCCTGGCACACGGGCCAGCTCCACTTATCAGTGAGTCTAATAGGAATGTGAAGAGAATAGGCTTGACAGCTCATTAGAATGTGATCCCTCCTCCTTTTTTTTTCTTTTTTTTTTTTTTCCCCTTTCTTGAAGTTGATGGAAACTCATTCAGGAAAGAAGTACTTATTTGCTGAGGTAAAGCAAAAGCTGAGGAGGGTTTTGCCAGTGTCTTTCTTGAATTGATGGAAACTCATTCAGGAAAGAAGTACTTATTTGCTGAGGTAAAGCAAAAGCTGAGGAGGGTTTTGCCAGTGTGCAGCTGAGGAAAGGAGCAGCAAGAAAAATCAGACGTGATCTACACTCAGAGGTACCTGAAATCTTGTCTAGTGTGAGGGGAGATGAGGATGAAAAAGACATGAGATTCTACACCCTGACAGCTGCTTGCGGCATCGGGACTTACTGCTCATCGTCTCATTAAAGAGAAGTGAAGATAAACCCAGCTAAAGAGCCATAGAAGCTAGACTTGGGAAAACTTTATCTGCTCCTAATGGACCTAGGTACATCCTCGGATTCTTTGCTTCTCCCTGTTTTAACTTTTATGATATGAGAAATTTACTTTGTCCTTAGAAGACTGAGCACTAGGCTGAGCTGTGATGCTTTCAGCCTCTTCAGAAGAGCAGTGGCTGTAGCAACCTTGGGTTACAGTTCTGCAGCATCTTGAAAGGAAAGGATGAGGACTTGTCACTGAGGAAAGGGAAGTATCATTCAAGAGAGAATGGATGGAACGTATTCAAGCCTGCTTTGAACTGAACACAATGCTTCAAATGACAGAAAGTGAAATCTCCTGTTGAAGAGGAACAACCTAACAACCCCCCTAATGAGTTTGTGTTGTCAGCTCTGGCCTGAGCAACTGTTGCCCTGAGCAATTTCACTTCTCTAGGTTTCATAGTTGAGTGCGTTTTAAACGAGTCTGAAGACTTATTGGGGGGG